AGCGAGAGGAGGAGAGAGAGGAGAGGAGGAGAGAGAGGGAGAGAGAGAGGGGGAGAGGAGTGGGGGGAGAGGGAGAGGGGGAGAGGAGAGGAGAGAGAGGAAGAGAGAGAGAGGGAGAGAGAGAGAGAGAGGAGGAGAGAGAAGAGAGAGAGAGAGAGAGAGAGGAGAGAGAGAGAGAGGAGAGAGAGAGGAGAGAGAACGTGCTGTCCTGCCTGAACGACGATGCCTCGCAGCTGGCTGGGAGTCCATTACTGTCATCCTTGTAAGTGTGTCAGTCAAGCTTTGTTAAGACTTTATGAATGCATTTGGTGTATAAATAGGAAGCACCAGCCCTCACGTTCCATGGAAACGGGGAGCAGTGCGGGCGCGGTTAGAGGATGGTCTCCATCGATGACACCCAACGGGAGTTAAAAGATTGGTTTGCTAGTTACACTCGGGAGAATAAGCCACTGAGGACGTACCAGTCATCAGTGGCTTATGGTACAGAATGGACATATCGTGACGTGAGAAAAATGTTGTTCCCTGCGTACACTCTAGCAAACCAAACCACACAACAAAGCCACCATAGATCACAGCTCACAAGTGCATGCACCTCTCTTTTACGAAAACCGTTCTCGTTGTTCCGTGAGACCTAGAGTTGCACACCTGCCGCCAGCAGCGGCCGACTAGCAGCGAACATCGATCAAACTATCTATGACCTGCGCACTACACACTATGCACTACAGCTTGGAATGTCTTCATCGCTTCTTCTGCCTCGCGCCTCGCCAACGGTCACTTGGTATGGCCATCCAGCTCAAAGTCTTGTTGTTTGCAGCCGGCGATGAACGCCTCCAGCGGCTACCGCAACGCGTGCAGACCGCCCCAGCAGCAGACGGTCCGCCACGAGATTCCCGTCCACGAGGCCGCGGTGCAGGTAACAGTGCGGGGCACTGGGGTGTGTGGGTAGCGGAGACGGGAGGGAGACAGGGCACTAGGAGGGGGGGGGGGGGTTAACGGAGACAATGGGCATCTGCCTGGGTGTGACTGGTCAGGTCACTGGGGTATGTGGGTAGCGGAGACGGGAGAGACAAGTCACTGGGTTGTGCAGGTAGCGGAGACGGGAGAGACAAGTCACTGGGTTGTGCAGGTAGCGGACGACGGGGAGAGGACACGGTCACTGGGTTGTGCAGGTAACGGAGACGGAGAGAGACAGGGCACTGGGGCGTGCAGGCAAGGAGCGCAGCTGTCCGATTGAGCAGTGTTGGAATTGGAGCGCTCCGCGAGCATAGATTGTCGCTTGGACACAGGGCCTGGGCACAGGGTCTGGGCACAGGGTCTGGGCACAGGGTCTGTCACCCAAACGGTCGGAGCGACCGCCTAGTTTTTATCCAGCCTTTCAGCCAAACAACCCCTGGGATTCCAGCTTCACACGCAGTGCCATACCATGGATATAAAGTTAACCCCGCCGCTTTGGCTGGGAACCGAGTCCACTACGGGTGTTATCCGCTGTTTACCGATGCTGTAAGCACAAAACCACCGGGGGTTGTGGGAAACTAACAGATATCCTGTAATAGGAACTGGTTATTTCGTGACAAAGTTAGATGTTTGTGGCGATGAGAAAAACAGCGAACCAGCCTAGGAAAAGGAGAGATCCCGTTTTCTTCAAGCTTGTTTTACAGCTTGCCTATCGTTAGCGGGATTTTGATTCGCGATAGTTTGGATAAGACGAGATCACTTTACTCATTGTTTTCCATGCACGGATGTCTTTTACATCATCACCTCGCCACGTAAGACGACTCGGGTTTCAAGAATATTCCGTATAACTACGGTGACACATGCTTTAAGTGGGCCCTCGTCATCTAGGTTGTTGCTGGGATCAACCAACTACGATGCAGTTGCCAGTCGATTGCTTTTTTTGTTGTCATGACAACATTGAGCCCGTCAGCTGGCAACAGTCTTTCAGGTTCGCTGAGCTGTTTCTGGTTCAGATACTGCCAGCCTGTTGCGGCGTGTTGAAACCTTTCATGTGCTCCGGTTGGGTGGGAAGCTGAGACTCGAGTATTGATCTTTTTATGGTCTTCAGCTGATCCTTTTGCTGTCCTTGACGGCACGCTAGCACTCCCGCTGCGAGCTCCGCGCTCGGCGCCGCTCGGCAGCGGCACTGAGCTGATCCCAAGTCAGTGTGGCACAGGCTCACCCTGCTCCATCAGTGCCGCTCTCACACGGCTGACATTCACACCGATGCCGCTCTCACACGGCTGACATCCACACCGATGCCACTCTCACACGGCTGACATCCACACCGATGCCGCTCTCACACGGCTGACATCCACACCGATGCCGCTCTCACACGGCTGACATTCACACCGATGCCGCTCTCACACGGCTGACATCCACACCGATGCCGCTCTCACACGGCTGACACCCACACCGATGCCGCTCTCACACGGCTGACATCCACACCGATGCCGCTCTCACACGGCTGACACCCACACCGATGCCGCTCTCACACGGCTGACATCCACACCGATGCGCTCTCACACGGTCGGCATCCGCACCGATGCCGCTCTCACACGGATGACATCCACACCGATGCCGCTCTTACACGGTCGACATCCGCACCGGTGCCGCTCCCACACGGTCGACATCCGCACCAGTGTCGCGTCTATGCAGTTGACATCTGCTCGCACGCAGATGAGGTCGTCACACCACACTAACGTGCAACTGCCGATTAGTGACATGACTTTCAGCATTCTTTCAGAAATGCTTTGCTTTCATCATGCATAGTTGGAACAGTCTTGAACACCGTTTTTTTCAGACTTATTCCGGATGTTTTTGAATTGATAGATATTTGGGATCAGAGCTCACGCTAAGCAGTGCTTATTGCGTGATCCCCGGTCCCTTGAAACCGACTACACAACGCAAGTTCAACGGCAGCATTTGGTGACGAAAGTTTAACGTGCCGTAATGCTCGGCACGGCCCGTCCTGCCCTCTGACGTCAGCTGACCTTAAGCGCGGCCGCTGCCACCTGTTGCCGGCCATACCTGTCAAGGGCAAATAGCAAGCGCCCAAAGCGACTCGAACCCACCCTGCAGCGCGTGGGCGGATCGGAAGGCAGGTGCTCTAACCAACCGAGCGAACCCACCCTGCAGCGCGTGGGCGGATCGGAAGGCAGGTGCTCTAACCAACTAAGCAAACCCACCCTGCAGCGGGTGGGCGGATCGGAAGGCAGGTGCTCTAACCAACTAAGCGAACCCACCCTGCAGCGGGTGGGCGAATCGGAAGGCAGGTGCTCTAACCAACTAAGCGAACCCACCCTGCAGCGCGTGGGCGGATCGGAAGGCAGGTGCTCTAACCAACTAAGCGAACCCACCCTGCAGCGCGTGGGCGGATCGGAAGGCAGGTGCTCTAACCAACTGAGCGAACCCACCCTGCAGCGGGTGGGCGAATCGGAAGGCAGGTGCTCTAACCAACTGAGCCACCGGGGCTGTATTATATAAGTACCCTCAGCTTTGGATAGATGTACAAATCGCTCGTCCGGGAGTTAAAATAGGAATGAAAGGAACATTTCGCTTCGCTGTAAAGGATTCACCCGCAGAAAGACGTCCTATCACTATTCGGTAGTCGTCGATATATATACCTTTGCAGATTACCTTTTCAAACAGTAACATATATTTAGAACCGATTACGACAGAGAGCATCGTTGCTAAGTGGTCTTGAACAGCGGGATTTACCTGTGATGCATGCCTTTAACAGCGTGAAAGTGTGTTGGAATTTTAGATCATGCGTTTCCAGCCGGGGATGAGGCATGGGTGCATGGACGGGCGGGGGTGGGTAGGGGGTGGGGGGGAGGGGGGTGGGTTCAAAGATCTTACAAAAGCTCGGGGGAAGGCGATTGCGATGAAGCCAAATGATGTCTGAGTCCAGAAAATAACCGTCCATGGGCCAATAACCGTCTATAGGCCACCAAATAGGCGCTCAGTGAAGGTAATGATGTATTCCCATGCACCACACGCGCTGAGCCTAACATATCTCCTATGTCTCCCAAAATTTCTCTTTTGGAGACACTTAACATATCCCAAAAAACGGCGGCAGTGTTTCTACTGCCACGGAGCGTTCTGGTGCGAGCGATATGTCGAGAGTTTAGTGCTGTGATTGAATTATGTTGCCCAAACACTATCATTGTTTCGAACACTTCTCTGTGCCTCTCAACCGGTGGTGTGATCCGCTAAATATTTCGCCCCAACGTTAATAAGCCAGGTTACTGCGAATAGTTGGCTTGTAACACCCATCTTTGCGCCAAAACAAGCGCAGCTGTGGTCCGTTAAGCCGCCGTAAGCCACGTCGATCTACGAAATACAGGACGCGCCGCCTGGAAACTCACGCTTCGGACCCCGCCGTACACAGAGGTATTGCGGCACAGTCTAAGCCAACACGCCGCCCTCGGAGCCGTTAATGTTCGGATGAAGGCAAGGTCAAGTGAGGTCAGTCCGTACCGCTTTGCCGTGGTATAGGGCAGACGGCGCCAACGTCCATTAGGACATTGTACCGAGTGACACTGCATTCCTGTTATCACTCGCTCTCGTAAGCCACCAGTCCACACTGGCTTGTCCTGGCCAGCGGTGTAGTTTCGTAAAATAATTGCGAGGAAATGGGGCTGAGCAGTGAGAATTATGTTACGTACCCCAAAAATACTGCAACAATTTATCTGATTTATCTTTGGATTCGGCCTAACTTTTTCTCGAAGTTGAGGTGGGGGTTGGAGCTAAATGTGGGACTTGAGTCCTACACCAACAGAATAAAGTGAGGAATGCAGCGGAGCGAATAGTGATTGGGATTCCTGGTTGTTGCACGCCTTGTTCATGACATAGAAAGACAGCTAGCGGAAACATTCATTACAGAAGTGCCATGGACAATATTTTGTTCCTAATAATCTAGGAATTCTCTCTGTCTCTCATTGACCACTAGTTAAAGGAGCGTAGGTAGGAAGCACTAGTTAAGCAATATATTCTCCCATGCATTCGTATGAGAAACATCACTTTATTCAAACATCGAAACATCCATTACAAAAATGTCATGCAAGATAATTATCTTAATAATCTGTTAATGCTCTCTCTCTCTCTCTCTCTCCTCTCTCTCTCTCTCTCCTCTCTCTCTCTCTCTCTCTCTCTCTCTATCTCTCTCTCTCTCTCTCTCTCTCTCTCTCTCTCTCTCTCTCTCTCTCTCTCTCTCTCTCTCTCTCTCTCTCTCTCTCTCTCTCTCTCTCTCTCTATCTCTCTCTCTCTCTCTCTCTCTCTCTCTCTCTCTCTCTCTCTCTCTCTCTCTCTCTCTCTCTCTCTCTCTCTCTCTCTCTCTCTCTCTCTCTCTCTCTCTCTCTCTCTCTCTCTCTCTCTATCTCTCTCTCTCTCTCTCTCTCTCTCTCTCTCTCTCTCGCTCTCTCTCATTGACTTCTAGTTAAATAAGCATAGATAGGAAGCGCTGGTTAGATAATATTTTCTGTCATATAGTCCTATTCCTACAGATTTATGATAAGAAAACACGTCGAATGGATGGGCAAGGCTAGTGACAATGTCCTTCAAGATTTTAGACAGATGGCTTCGAGTGTAACTCAGATCCGCAGGCAATGACCAAACGTAACGACAAAGTAGATACATACACATCCCAGATACCGCAGTGTTGCCCTGGCACCGTGTGAGGTGGACAGGAGCATGCCACATCTGCAAGGACAGATCCAGCACAACTACCTCAGAGGGACGCACCACAGCCATTGCCGTTCTGCTGCCATACTCCTCCACCTCACCAAAATACGATATAAATTCCAGCAAAGCCTTGCCATTCGTCTCGTCCACCATTGCTCCTCTCCACCGACACAACACCTCCGCTCGGAACATCCCCCCCCCCCCCCCCAGCTCAGGCTGGCTGTTGCCTCTCGACCTCTGGAAACAATGAGTAGTTTAAAGCGTTCACCAGCCGCCGGTCGTGGACAGAGATCGGCTAGAGGTGCCGTTTTTTGGAAGCTGTTTTCCAAAGGTTATCCAAAATCAAAGGAAGAACCAGATGTCTGTTCAAAAGTTTTCAAAAAGCAGCTTGGCCCAAAAATTCACATTTCTTCAAACAGCAAATGACTACAATCTACAACCAAGGACACCAATAACTTTTGTGCTGCTGCATCCCTTCATCAGAATCGAATGAAAAAAGGATTACCTTGCATAAGTAATGTGCACCCGCATTCAATAAGTTGAGATACATGCCAATATGCGACACGACATAATGATAAGGGCTGCCTAAAACTATGTAAAGATTTTCTCCTGTCCCTCCAATCTCAAGATCTACAAAAATTTGGAATCCAACCGCGCCTCTAGCATCGACCGGCCGTGCCGGAGCGAAGGCCACGTTGATACCCCACCGAAGGCCAGACCAGAACATAGCGTGGAAGCTTGGCGACGGGCGCTGGCGCATGCGCACTGGGGAGTCCCACTCCGGGACGGACACTGTCTTCGAACGTGAGCTTTAACGCTGCCGGACGTTATCACCGTACAAGCCATTATTGAACGGTGGCAGGCTGCCGTACCCGTTATGTAAAGGACGGGGTATGAGGCCGTCTTTAACGCCGCCGGACGTTATTACCGTACACGCCATTATTGAACGGTGGCAGGCTGCCGTACCCGTTATGTAAAGGGCGGAGTATGAGGCCGTCTTTAACGCCACCGGACGTTATTACCGCACAAGCCATTATTGAACGGCTGGCAGGTTGCCGTACCCGTTATGTAAAGGACGGGGTGTGAGGCCGTCTCCATGTGTTGGCTCCCGCGCACTGCGGGACGCGGGAGGCTTCGCTAGCGCTGCGTTCTTCCGTTCTGTATGCAGGCCCCTGGGATAGGCAAGGCGTTTATCACAGATGGATTACAGGGACGGCGTTGCATGCGTAGGACGTGACGTCGCTTCAAACCGCTGGCAGATCCAGCTTTGGGGAGGGGGCTGTCAGGCCATTTTAAATTGTGGCTAAAAGGAGAATCGTTCCCTCTTTGAACTTAACTCTCGTGTGATCGGCGAGGTGTTCTACACCTGCCTCTCCCCTCCGCCAACCAAGCTCCCTCGCTGGATCGTCCTTGCCGTGACCTGACCTGCCGTGACCTGACCTGCCGTGACCTGACCTGCCGGCAGGCGTACCAGACGCAGCAGGAGGCCATGCGGAGGGTACCGGTGCGGGCGCGTGGTGACCTCAAGTGGCCCCCCGAGTCCTACCGCAAGAAGCCCGGCGACGACCTGCCGCCGTCCCGGCTCGAGAAGCCTCGCCTCCCCAAGAAGGACTACTCGCGTGAGTGATCAGCGTCATGCCAGAGGGCACATCAGAGGGCACATCAGAGGGCACATCAGAGGGCCATCAGAGGGCCATCAGAGGGCACGTCAGAGGGCGCATCAGAGGGCACATTCGTCGGGCGACGGCGGCATGCTGGTCTGACGACGGCCGTCGCTCCGGGCCCGATGGTCCGCCCTGGCTCTTTTGTCGTTTATCGTGCTTTAACGGACCTGAAGCATCCTTTGAGATGCTCGCAGCTTCCAGGACAATGCTTTTTTGGTGTTGGAGGAAACCCGCCACCTGCTGGGCGGTACCTGAGCGGCGCCGGAGAGTACCACCTGCTGGGCGGTACCTGGGGGGCGACGGAGAGTACCACCTGCTGGGCGGTACCTGGGGGGCGCCGGAGAGTACCACCTACTGGGCGGTACCTGGGGGGCGACGGAAAGTACCACCTACTGGGCGGGTACCTGGGGGGCGCCGGAGAGCACCACCTGCTGGGCGGTACCTGGGGGGCGCCGGAGAGTACCACCTGCTGGGCGGTACCTGGGGGGGCGACGGAAAGTACCGCCTACTGGGCTGGTACCTGGGGGGCGACGGAAAGTACCGCCTACTGGGCGGTACCCGGAGGGCGCCGGAGAGTACCACCGGCTGGGCGGTACCTGGGGGGCGACGGAAAGTACCGCCTACTGGGCGGTACCCGGAGGGCGCCGGAGAGTACCACCTGCTGGGCGGTACCTGGGGGGCGACGGAAAGTACCGCCTACTGGGCGGTACCCGGAGGGCGCCGGAGAGTACCACCGGCTGGGCGGTACCTGGGGGGCGCCGGAGAGCACCACCTGCTGGGCGGTACCTGGGGGGCGACGGAAAGTACCGCCTACTGGGCGGTACCCGGAGGGCGCCGGAGAGTACCACCTGCTGGGCGGTACCTGGGGGCGCCGGAAAGTACCACCTGCTGGGCGGTACCTGCGGGGCGCCGGAGAGTACCACCTGCTGGGCGGTACCTGGGGGGCGCCGGAGAGTACCACCTGCTGGGCCGTACCTGGGCAGCGCCAGGGAGCACCACCTGCTGGGCGGTGGTGCTCTCCGGCGATTGCGCGTCAACTCCTGGCACGAAAGATATATGGCATGGGCTAGTGTTGCATTGGCAACAAACACAGCACCCCACAGCAAGCACACAAACACGATGTTACCCTAGATCAGTTCGCAGCGATGCATTGTGGGGGAGAGGGGGGGGGGGATTGGTGGTGGTGGTGGACGTACTATTGAGTGAGATCTTTGGTGTTGAAACCTCGTCAGTTTGTGTTGTCACTAGCGCCGCATCAATTTCAGGAGATAGTGTCGCCACCAGCCACGCACTATTCTCAGGAGTCGGTGTCGTCGGCAGTGACACACCAATCTCAGGAGTTAGTGTTGTCACCAGCCACGCACTATTCTCAGGAGTCGGTGTCGTCGGCAGCGACACACCAATCTCAGATGTTAGTGTTGCCACCAGCCACGCACTATTCTCAGGAGTCGGTGTCGTCGGCAGTGACACACCAATCTCAGGAGTTAGTGTTGCCACCAGCCACGCACTATTCTCAGGAGTTGGTGGCGTCGGCGGTGACGCACCAATCTCAGGAGTTAGTGTTGTCACCAGCCACGCACTATTCTCAGGAGTCGGTGTCGTCGGCAGTGACACACCAATCTCAGGAGTTAGTGTTGCCACCAGCCACGCACTATTCTCAGGAGTTGGTGGCGTCGGCGGTGACGCACCAATCTCAGGAGTTAGTGTTGCCACCAGCCACGCACTATTCTCAGGAGTTGGTGGCGTCGGCGGTGACGCACCAATCTCAGGAGTTAGTGTTGCCACCAGCCACGCACTATTCTCAGGAGTTGGTGGCGTCGGCGGTGACGCACCAATCTCAGGAGTTAGTACCGTCACCAGTAGCACACCAATCCTCGAGGCGCGCGATCAGAGTTTGAATCCAGCGCGCAGTGTGAACACTTCGCTGGTCCCACTCGTATGTTCGGTGTCGGCGGCTGCAACGCTAATGCACTGACAGTCTCATTCGAGAGCAACTTATTCCGTCTCAGGCGTTTGAACTTGTAAGTCATGTTTTATGTGCTTCACTTGGTCCTTCTCTTGCCCGAACGTCAGCTCTGTGTAAGCTCCAACCTCAACTCTGTCTGAGTGACTCATCTTTGCGTGAACTCCAACTAATCTCCCACACTCGACTCTCCGTGAATGCGAACCTAATTTCGGCTTGTCTGGACCTCAACCTCATATCTGTACAAATTTCGAGCTCCTTGATCTGATGACATCCCGAGTGGCATGGGAGCATTCGTACCCATTCATACATTCGTACCCATTCATACATTCGTACCCATTCGTCCATTTGTACCCATTCATCCATTCGTACCCATTCATCCGTTTGTACCCATTCGTCCATTCGTGCCCACTCATACGTTCGTACCCATTCACACGTTCGTATCCATTCAGCCATTCATACTCGTCACTCCACGAGTCTTCACACCTACCTTTGTCCTGGCCTCGGTCCCCAGGTAGCCTTGGTCCCTCAGCCGTACAGACCTCTCCCTCCTCTGGTCTAGCCTCAGTCCCTCAGCCGTGCAGACCTCTCCCTCCTCTGGTCTAGTCTCGGTCCCTCAGCCGTACAGACCGCTCTCCCTCCCCTGGTCTAGTCTCGGTCCCTCAGCCGTACAGACCTCTCCCTCCCCTGGTCTAGTCTCGGTCTTCAGCCCTACAGACCTGGCCCCTGCCCGCTGCGACCGCCCGGGCTCGGCCCCGACTGGCTCGTCCCGCCGGTTTGTTTGGGATCGCTGCTGCCAGCCGTCAGGCTCCCTCCGCTGCTGGGAATAGCCCGCCAGCTGGGGCGCTGTGATCTTCTCTGGCCTCAGCCCATTGATTGCTGTGATCAGGATGACGTCAGACGTCAGATGTGATGACGTCAGACACTCTGCTGGCGGAGTCTTCCAGCGGCTGTCGACGGACCTCACTGCACCGTCAGTTCGGCGTGTTTCACTCGCGCATCGGAAACCGCTGAAATCTGCCATCATGCTGCTGTACTAGGCGTGCAGGCTGCGGATATTGTCTTTTGCTGTTGTTGTTTCTCTAATTTTTTGTCAAGCATGGCAATAAAGAGTCGGGCAAGCAGCTGTTGGTGCTTCGGTTGGCAAAGGAACGAAATTTTAATCAGACAAATAAACAACCGGATGGACCGGCAACCTGTTTAGTTACAGCCAGTCAACGCCAGGGTGCCCGTTGACCGCTATCACAGGGTGGTCATGTCGGCTATGCTTATCACCCATTATCATGGACACGTAGACCCGCTCGCCGCGCGCCAGACCCGCCGTGAGATGGAGGCACACGCTCGCGGAGCAGTGTCTATTTCTGGTGCTCTAATCGGAGGAGGGTCTGCCGCTGAGCAGGCGGCCCATTGAGCTCGACCCTAGAACAACCCCCCACCCCCGCTGCGTCACCGACCATTCGCCAGAGACTGGCGCCGCCGCTCGCGTAAGGACACCGGGCCGGAAGCAGGGCGAGGCACGGGAGCATTCCGCACGGCGGCGACTTCCGACGCGGACTTCTGGCGAACCTCACCATTCATCAGGAGGAGCTCTGCCAAGAAATGGGCGTCATCGAACTGCCCAGTTTACCTCACATTTAATATCCCGTTGGCCAGCGTCCAAGTTGACTTCCCTCAGCGCCCAATCCCCAACAGTTATGGCATAATAATGCAGCGGCGCCTGTGATGCATACATTACCTCATCAGTTATGGAGTGTTTCATGGTTTGTAACTGTTCACATCCTTGGTATTGAGTTTTCATTTTTGAGCGTTTTGGAACACTTCGAACTAAGATACTTGTGTTTCCGCCGAACATAGCTTGCTGGCCTCCTTTGACCTTAAATTATCTGACCTAGATATATATATATATATATATATATATATATATATATATATACTATATAATAAATGGTCCACTACCTCACCCTTCAAACGCGCCGCTCTGCCCGGTCCTCCAGGGGGCGCTAAGCATTTTCGTTAAACGCGGAGACATCCTCAGAGTCACTTCTATCTCACTCCACTCCTTGTCACCCAGTCAGCCACTCACCCTACTCCTAACTTTAAACTCGTCAAGCTGCTTCTGGGGGGCTCTTCCGAAATGTGCGCAGCCAACGCCCCGACATGCGTTGAGTTCATAAAACAAGTGGCATTGAAGATTTGTTACGTGAAATTATGGCAAAACGTAAGCGACGAAATATACATCAGTCAATGAAGGGAAGCCTGAGTCAATCTGGCCTCTTCTTGTAGCCCAAAAGAAAGACATTTCACGAACATAGATGAATAATATACATGAATTTACATACATAATGATTGCACGCGGTTCCATCCACATTACACAATTTTCTGAAAACCGTGTTTTTGAAGCCGTTGGAAAAGAAAGCACTGTTGGTGACTGCTCTGTTTTCCAACGACTCGGCACGCTTTGTTCCCATAACGCTCCTGCCAAAAAATTAACGACATAAGTAGCCATTACATGCAAATATCACTTTTACATGTTCATTAGTCAATATCAATGTTGTTTATGGCCATGGATAATAGCAAATCTAAGGATAAAATGCCGCCAAATGCGGCGTTTCATGTGATAATAATGGCTTGTGCCTGTGCCTGTGCCTCTGCCTTTGTGCCTCTGTGCCTCTCGTGAGTGCATGGCCTTCCTCGCGCCACCAGCCTAGTCCTCCTGTCTTGCTGCACGTCTTAACACGTGTCTTGGAGTTATCGCGTCTCATCAGTTAATCCATGCGTAGTTCTCGTGGAATTTTGATGTCACTCACGCTGGGCCGCTGTGCCTTCTCTGCCTTGTCATCGGTCTTGGCGTCACATCCTGTCTTTTTGATTGATTCGCGGCCATTTTCAGCGGCTCCGTCACGTCACAACAGCATTTGTCGTAAATCTAATAACCTATGATGACGTCTCGGAGGCAACAGAGACGCCGCCGTCAAAAACAAAAACAGCCAGA